CGATAGCCGGTACTGAGGGATGAATATAGCTCCGACATTGCCGTACTGGAGGAACCGGTCACACATGGCGCCGTAATCCGTACTGCGTCCGTTGCTTAACACAAATGCTCCCCCGTGGAGATGCAGAACTACCACGGGTGCGTTGGCGGGATCGCTGGGCTTCTTGGGGTACCACGTCCCCCCGATGGCGGCGGGCTTGACGTCTTGGTGCTCTAAAGGACCGCGGTATACATGGTTCGGAAACGACGCCATCGTCTCCCATCTGTCTTTCTCCTCTCCGGGATTCAGTGGCTGTGGCACCGGAGTCTCTGTGCGGCTAGACATGATAAGAGATTCGGTGAAGATCCGAATCATGAGAGATTGTCTGATATTCCACTGCAGCAATCAGTTGGCTAATGGTAGTCTGGGCCGAGGGCAAGTGTAGCGTAGCGCCAGGAACAGGGAAAACCACAGAGACATGATGTCCTCGAACTGGGACCCGTTGTACCTTGCGGAGAAGTGACATCCGAATGATTACTTACTGTCGGGAGCGGCCTCATGCCCCGGAAAAGCGAGTAACCAATGATCCATAATGGCAACCGGGCGATGACGGTAGTTGTGTAGAGGGCCTTGTAGAGAAGCCTTAGGACCGGGTACGAAATAAGCGGACGACCCGGGAACCTCACGTTAGGCATTTTCTGCTGCATGGTGAAGTTTTCCTCGAAAGTATTCTGATCTCTGTGGTGTGGATATCTGTCTACACAAACGGCGCGTGTTGTTATTTCGACGACTTGTTTACAATTGATCCCTACCTTAGCTTACATTCGGTTGAGAAAGGCGGGAAAGTTTACAAGCCCAGTTGGTCGGTTCGACCTCAGCTCCCATGATCCTTCCACGTTGGCTGAATAGAGCCCAATGCGGACGACAACGAGCCAAGGTGAGGACGACCGGTAAAGAAAAGCTATGCAACTCGTGTGTGGCGAGAGAGGGAGAAAGAGAGGGAAAGAGTAAGCGGTAAGCGGTGCAGGGTAGGTTCCTACAACCGGGGCTCCCCCTTCGTCCTGTCGTTTCCCCTACAATCATACAATGTGTAGGTATTTTGCAATCCTCATCACACCTCCTAGACGAGACCTGTGGTATTCACAATGGACATCACCTTAGCTTGCCTTACCTTGCCTTGCCTAACCTTACCTAGGTACCTACACCATACTATGCACATGTCACAGAGGAAGTCTCCGGTGGTAGAAAACATGTGCGTTCGGAGAACCTGCCAGCCAAGGTTGAGCCAGCCAAGGTGATCCTGGTATAGCTACAGCGGGCCAGCTTCGGAGCAGCCGACAGCACAGTTCAAAAGGTCTGCCCAAGACAAGTTGAGCAGGTACCTACCTAGGTAAGGTTTACGACCAGGTCACAATAAAAAACAATGGGAAAAGTCAAACAACGGCCATGAGGAGATATACAATCCCCGCCTCCAGTTGAGTTAATGCAGCCCCCAGCGAAATTCAAGGAACCGGAAGCCACTTTTCCTTTTTCCCGGTGGCAAATACTCACGCTCACGGGCATGCGAGTCGCGAGCTTCAACCCCATCCAAGCGCCCGTTGCCCTATAGAGCAGGGGTTCGACTGCAGCCACGGGTGCCGTATCATCGGCTACATCCGGGCCTGCGTAGCAAAGGTCCGCGTCACTGATGCAGGAGCCATGCCATCACGGCTTGGTAGGCACCTCGGGTGTAGGGTAATCATTTATTGTCGTCTGGAGCTTTGGCATCTTCAGATACATGGTGACGGTTGTACTCACGATGAAGCATGTGGCAGCCGAAAGGTGACTAGAACGGGATATATCACGAGAAAGTATGTCATTCGACCCCCTTCTGAGCATCGACGACTTCGCGTGTTAACCTCGAAACGCCATATTTATTCCGTGTTACCTATAGTTTACAACATCATCGACCCCTTCAACGATGCAATGTCTCCAGGTAATGTGACGGTGCCCTTGAATATCATGCAGCTATTACTGATACGAATGAAAGAGCCCACCGTGATGATATCGACATCCCGAGCTTTTCCAGAGCTTTCGCCTGTCATATTACCAGGCTTTACTTAGGCCTTAGCCTCACTTCCCCCCGTTCCCCCTCTCTCTCTGGTTCCCCCCTTTCAGGCGAAGCGAACCGCTTTGCGACCTCGACGCGGTGGTGAGAACAGCGTAGGCTCCCAATTCGACTCAAAGAGCTGAATAGCCCAGTAAGACCTGTCATCGCCGTATATCTTTTCCTTTCGCGAGTTTCGTAGATCAATTTGAACGCCTACCAACCGTTAGCCATAGACGTCAGTGGTGACTGGAAGGGGATTGGCCTCTCGCACCTGGTCTCTCAACGAACTTCACAACCTGGGACAAGTAATTCATCTCTTGCGCGTCGAGGAAAGGCGCTTGCGCTTCACGCATCGACGCAAAGCTGGGCACAATGGAAGGGTGCAATTCGCAAAGCCCGTGGAAGCAATGGAGCAGATTGTTTGCTTCTTTCTCCAGGCTCTCGACATTTTCCGCGCTAGATCTACTGGCCTGCTCCAATATGTCAGCTTGGTTGCTTGGTTGCTTGGTTGCTTGGGGTGGGGGGCTTTGTCATGGCCATGCCCACGGATAAGCGGTGATGCTTACGTTGGAGGAATTAAGATAGTAAGTAATGGTCAAGTCGACGTTATGTAGCAGCACAAACGTCGCCAGGAATAAATGAAAACTGTACCAGCCGAAGTCTTCATCCCTGTGGTAGATCCTCGTCATAAGGATCTGGATATGGCGTTTGAGAGGCTTCACGAGGCCGATACTCACGCTGATGTTGAGCTGGCGAGAAAGGAGGCTCGGCACTGGAGTACTTTTTGGACCACAATCTTTGTTCCATGGTTCCCGCAGAAGCTGGCATATTTCGAGCAGCTCTAATGAAGCTGTGAGTAGTAAGTCGTCCTCTGAAAGCTTTTTGTTTTGACAACACCGGTTAGCGATCTAATAAGCAACACACAAAGTGCAGGGTCAAGTTTATGATACTAACATCTTCATACGACCGGCGGGTGTGCAAGTGCATGGCCACATCCAAAGTGTCGGCAAGCAAAACATTCCTGTACGTGCCGGAGCGTCTCCAGACGCCCTTCTCCCAGTAACGATTATGTTTGTCTAGCAACCTGGTTTTCAGCCTGTTGAAGTAATTGACTTCTATCGCAAATTCCTCTAAATCGAGGTTCTTTTCACCGAATATTGCGCCATGGTGCATCATGTGCGTGTGATTCTTCCCGCTGGGAACCACTCTTCTCAAGGGGATATCTATAGAGCGATTGGCCAGGGCCGGGTGGGATATGGTGGCCACCACGGTCTCATGCTTCGGATCCCACACGGGTTTCTGATATTTGGTGGCCGCTGCGTCGCGACCGGGTTAGTGATTTGAGCGGCAGGGATAGAGCTTGCAAATGGTCTTTTAATGGGAGCTTCGACTTACCGACCAGGCCTTCCAAAGCATTGCCAACTCTCAGGTAGGTGCAACTGATGTTGGCCTCGTTGTCGTCGTCGTCGTCGTCATTGTCATTGTCATCTAGCTCAATGCTAGGTGACAATTGGCTTCCTTCTCCATTGGGCGGCGACGGCGGCAGCGGCGGCGACTCCGGCTCGTCGTTTGCGAAGGAGCGCGGGCGGGTGTTGAATTTGATAATTCTGACCATCTTGAAATCCTTGAATAGAGTTGCCGATGGAGTCGGCAAGCAAGGAATAAGAACAATCAAGTGATGGGCGACGTGAGCAGGCCCGGGATATATATATCCAATGGACGTACTGCGGCCGGAAAGAATGTAACAAGACGACGATGATGATGATAGTGATGGTGATGATTTGACAATGCTGGAGAGCTGTCGGCCTTGATGCGGGTAATAGTATTACCTATTAACATCTAATGCACGGCGCGATGGTCCGTGGAAAAGATGTTGTGGATAAGACAAAGGGGAGTAAAGTTGACAGTGACCGGGAGGGATCAGTTTGGTAACAGGTAAGGACGGCCAGTTCGGACGAATCGATTAGATAATTCCCAGGAAGGAACGGCTTCTCGGCTCCGTTTGATTCTGTTTTTAGGCCATTTATTCACTGGACGTGATTTAGCACGTGGGCGTTGAGGCAGCAACGGGCGTGTGGGCAGGTTAAGGGTTTCCACGACGGGCTCCCCTACAGCAGAGAAAGCACACAGGTGTAGTAATGTCCTATAGGTACTTAGTATTAAATTGAGTCACCTCGGGTGCCCACTAGAGTTTCTGTTCCTTCTACCTATAAAAGAGACCGTCGGGCTACAGCGGCCTCATAACGAAGGGTCGCGTCGCTGCCCCGTCGGCAGGTACCTATCCACCTGTCTTCTACGAGTGTCGGCTACAACTACAACTACAACTACAACTAGACCTGCCGTGAAGTACCTGCCAGTAGACACTAATCACTGCGTGAGGCAGGTGCCAGTTTCTCCCAAGCTAACGTCCTTATCCGCAGTGGTATCATCACAACAGTGGTCCGCGCCAATATCACGTACTTAACGCGTCTTCAAAGAGTGAGCCGCACGAGCGGAATTTCCCTGGGTATTAAGCATCGAGCTAATGAGGCTTCTTAGGGGCATTATCAACGGTAATTGTCCTTGAAGTTCGATACACAACCGAGGCTATGATAGTAAATATTTACAGACCATATCTATCGTTCCCCTAACCGATGGCAGGCCAACAAAAATAACATCGGCAACTTGCTACCTACCGGAATACATTTTGCTGACGGTCGAAATGGGCGAGTCGAGTTTTTGCGACCAAAAAGTCATGGGTCAACTATAATCATCGAGCCAGGAGACATTGTGAGGTAAACATTGTCACGTGCAACCATGGCGACGGCATGATCCAGAATCCCGATTTGCAAAGAAACTGCTCCATACGGGAGTAGAACCCGACTAACCGAGTTTAGCAGGTGGACTAACTGACTTGATGCTAGCTAAGCCATGATCGAGACATCAACAAGCGGGTCCCATAGCTCAGTTGGTTAGAGCGTCGTACTAATATTAGCAAGAAATTGGTAACATTAGTAAATGCGAAGGCCGTGAGTTCAAGCCTCACTGGGACCATTCTTTTTCGACTCCTCGTGTAATACTTGTTATTGATGATTTCACGATAACTCTGCTTCATTTTTTTGTTGGTATTTGAATCAGTCACCAGGTAAGTATCCGTCTAGAACTTGGCACCCTTTTTAGCATCTGATCCTCTCCTTTTGACCTCCCTTTCTTCCCAGTTTGGACGAATGGAGTGACAACTTACAAGTTGGCATGAGTTTGGGATACAAAAGAAAACGGTGAGATGAGCTTATCATGGTCGAATCCGGTCAATTAGCTAGCAAGCTTCGATGGTGCTAGAAAATCAAACATCTCTTTACCTCTCTCTCCACACGTCTTCAACCTACCTATCTACAGTATCGTATTCCTACACAGTGCTCTCTATTTTTGGAGATTCATCAAACCCGCTTGCTGTGCGATGTTTTGATCCCAAAAGAAAAGCCAAATGGCTGTCAGGGAGACAACCATTGCCAGAGACAGCTGTGCCAGTGGCATCAAGCCAGTCTTCAAGCCTGTCTGATGGGTGGCGTTGGATGCCCTGCCGATGATGCCGCATGACCACCTGTCTCTCCCAAAGCGCCATGTATGATAGGTATATAAAAAATTACAACGCTACGTTTCTGCTTGATCTATCCAATTCCCTGGCCCAGACCGAGGTCGAGGCTACCTGAGCGGGCCTTGTGACCTCAGTTCAACTCCTCGATAAACCAGTCTCATCGATTTGGCATCGAATGTCCTCGTCTGGGGATCCCACCATGCAACGCAGTCTACCGTAATGACATGCCGCGGGGTAATGATTTCAACGAGGCCAGTCAGACGTATTGAGCCTCGAGGCGGGTATGGAGTCGGCCCGCGCCACCTTTGGCGAAAATTCTTCTTGAACTGATATCGTGGGCCACTGGTATGATCCAGCAGCGCACGAAGCACGGATCCCTCCGGCGCCCTCGACATGGCAGGCATGGCATTATTGACACTGGAGCCTGAACCAAGAGTCGCTGGCGCAGTTGTTGAGCCCGTGGATCGCTTATCTACGGAAGGCAATGAACTACCAGTTGACTCGCTGCTTGCACGGTCTTGAGTTTGAATGGGCGACGATACTGAACCGGTCTCCGATGACTTGTTCAACTGCCGCCGGATCCTTCGTAATATGCCTCGCACATCAGTCAAGGAGAGGTTTTGAGTTTCAGAATCGAATAGTTTCGTAACGGTCTGAACATTTTGCGATACCAGAGCGCGTGTGAAAGTCCAGAGTGCACTTGTGAGGGCGGAGGGCCAGAGAGCGCGCCTCGTCCAAAACACAGCAGTGGAAGTGACCGGACGTTCTGCCCACGCTATACCGTCTTCGCCACCTATCGATAATCTAAGAGCATAAATTAGCTAACGAGATGCGCCATGGGGACAACGGGGAGGTTGCATACCCTCGTCGAACGAACTGTGGTGGCGGACTGGGGGGATACTGTACGTCAAACCAAAATCTGGAGATTTGTGCCTCGGAGTCGCCTTGCTGGATGGCGTTCTTCACAACGACTCGGCGCACGACCTCGGCAAGACTTTCTACACCATAGTTAGTAGGCGCAAGGCCTCGTATGTTGCCTCAGATATACTTACTCTGTACTGATAGTAGAAGGTCTGGATGCTCATTGATCTTCATGTAGGCTTGCCATTCGGGATCTGAGCCCCGGTATGGCAGCGGGTAGACCTCCTGTGTGAACCCGGGAAAGGGTATGAATATGGGCTCTGCATCCAGTGCTTCGACGGCTCTTTGCTCCTGCTCGGTCATCTCGGATAGCTCGTCATCTACTGCCCTAGCCAGGATACGAGTAACGACCCTGTAGGCGGCATAGGCAATGCCGAATTTAAGGAGGTATTCGCTGTAGGTAAAAGGTCAGGACGAAAGAGTACTCAATAAGTGGCCGAAACAATGTGCCTACATGATCTTGCGCTTTCTATGAAACCTGACCCGTTGTATTCGGATAATCTCTGGTTGAGGAGTGTGTTTGGGATGCGCTCGAGCAGCGAGGGCCATCAGGTATCGTCGAGGACGTAATAGTCGAAACATGATGGGCAGTTAAGGAGGCGCACCGGCGACCCGGCGGCCGGGAAGGACTCAGATGACGCTTTTGCGTACAAGTCGGCAACGAACGACGAGGAACGGGGGAGTCGACTAAAGATGAATGGAATGTTGTTCCGGTGGATTATAACCTACTAGGTGGCGCGATACGAGAGGAACAAAAAGAAAGACGAAAGTGAGAAAGGCCGGGGAGTGCGCGCAGTGGATTCAGATATCCGGAAATATTGACTTGAGAGTGGGTGGGTTGAAGGATATCGTCGCGTATTGATCGCAGGAAGATGTACCAGCAGGGTAATGGAAGTTGATACCAGCGACTCGGACGGAGGGGCCATTCTACCCAGGTACACTACTTCACAGTCTGTACACTGGGGTGCAGGTAGCATGCGCTGCCTGCTTATGTCAACTTTCCATGTATAAGCCAGGTAGCACAGATCACGTGGCGATAGGAAATGACATCGGGACACAGGGGACAGCTGTGGATGCACAGACTAACTAGACTAGTCTTACTCTACTAGTAGACTTGGTAGTTATCGCCAATGAGCAACATCTGCCAGGTGGTTTCAGTAGGCACCATCTGCGCTTGAACTGCCAACTGCCTCCCCTGCCTACCTATCTCGATCTCTCAAGCGTCACCTATCATCGTCCATACCTCATCCAGCCCACGCTGGAGCGTCTTAATCGTCCGTATCTCCTCGATAATTACACCAGTGAATTGCGCTACCGGCCACGCAACGCCACCCATTATGAAGCTTAACAGCTTCTTGCTGCCAGCACTAGCTGGTGTCGCTGCCGCAGACTCGACACCGCAGCATGCCGAAGCATACATGCTCAGACACAGTAAACACGCCACATCATCGAATCCTCCGTCGATACCGAATTCCCTCGCTGAAGCCATCCTCGTTCAGCGACTCAGCTCCCCCGACCGACCATCGGCATTGGGCGAGGTCCCTCAATCGTTGGACCAAGATGAAGTCGTCTCATATGTCAATGAATTCGGGAAACCCACGCGCTCCCTGTTCGACAGCTCAGACGTCGAGGAACCAAGACAACTTGTCATCGCCTTCTCAGGTGTCGCTCCCAGCCAACACAAGCAACTCAAGGCCGCCATGCCCCACGTACCGCTTGCCTTCACAGCCCCCGATCTCAGACGGTTACCCCTCAAGGCCAACTCTGGTTGTGCGTTTGGATCCGCCATCAACCCGAAGGGCAAAGAGTCCAGTAAATGCTGGAGTGGGACGACACAGTATCTCCAATACGATGCTACAAAGGTATAGCAGGATGCCTACCCGCACTTCCCTGACATTATACCAATTAGCACCATCTAATTTCTCTACAGGATCACAACGTAATAAAGCAGCTCAGCGCCAATCTCGCTACGCTGAAGTCGTACGCGAACGAAGGTCTGATGGAGACGACCATTGTCTTCCTCGACCCGAGCGCCTCTCCCGAGACGGAAGACGACAAACTACAACGCCGTCAACTACAATACCAGAAGGAGAAGGTGATGGCTGCGCCGTCAGACTCGAGCATGTTTGTCCAGAGTGGGCACGGCTCAAGCACTAACAAGGGCTTCGACGCCCTTGCTGGCCGCCCCGCGACGGTACCCACTTGCTTTGCATCCTTTAACGCCTGCGAGACGGCGACAAATTCGTGTTCGGGCCACGGTCAATGCGTGGACCGCTGGGGCAAGGACGCCACGGACAACTCATGCTTCTTCTGCCACTGCGCGAAAACCGTCGATACGGACTCTAAGGGCCGCGAGCAGGTGTTCCACTGGGGTGGCGGCATGTGCCAGAAGCGAGACATCAGCACGCCCTTCTGGCTCTTCGCTGGCGTTAGTATTACCCTTGTTGGCACGATTGCCTTCTCCATTGGTCTTTTGTTCAACGTTGGCGAGGAGAAACTACCCGGTGTCATTGGCGCTGGTGTTTCGAGGTCGAAATAGGCTATGACCATCTAATGACCTTAAGGCTTACGGTGAAATTTGGAGCTTCTGTTGTGCATGAAGACTATGAACGCTGGACAAGGGGCTCAAGGCTATATGTCTGTATACTATATAAAGCAAAGCCCTTGGAACTCCAAAGTATGTAGAATGACGGTTCGGGGAGGCCAGATGGGTAATTTCTGTGTATCAATATGTAACTGGTACAGGAATGGGCTTTGTATGCAGCATCAGTCTATTCTTGTTGAACTTTCTCTTATGATATTTTTATCTCTCACACATATTCCTTATATCGAATGGATCATGGCACTTCAAACTCCACATGTCACGGATCAAAGATTTGTGAAGTAATGCAATCCAATGCTTACATTCTCTATAAAAAGAAGAGAAAGGGGGTATCATAAATCATAAATCCATCTGCGCTTGTCGTACTGGCGTCGTCCCGAGACTCTCCAGCCCCCTCTCGCCCGGCGTCTCGGGCCTATCTCTAAATTGGTCCAGCAATGTCCTCGCCGCCATTACAGTGCCCTCCCCGTTCAGGCTGGCGCCGCCATCTGCCAAAGCCTCGTTATTATCACTCTGGGCAGCAGTACTAGTATTTGCGGCCCCGGACATCATGACAGCGCGATACCGCTCACCTGCGGCATTCAACAGCTTCTGCACCTCTGGTTCCCTGCTCAACACGCCTTCCCGCTCGGCTTTCAGCTCGGCGATGTGGGCGCGCATGCGGTTCAGGTCTGCCTCCTTCTGCTGCATGCGGGCCTTGAAGGCCTCCACGAGCACGCTCAGGTCCGGGAGGGGCGTGATCTTGGGTGGCACGGGGACTACGCCCTCGCGAGCACCCAGTCGCCGCCGCTGCTGCTCCCGTTCCTCGGCAAGACCGTCCATGCCAGCACGGGTCTGCGCGGCCTCGAAGGCGGCCTGTCGCTCTGCTTCGGAGTCATCTGAGGCCGCCTCGCCGTCCGACCCGGCGCCTTCGGCAGCCGATATTAACGACGCCAT